TCATGAAAGAATACTTTAGCATTTTGGATTACCTGTGCGACTTATTACGGACAGATATTCTTCATTTACTGGAAAGAAACTAAAAGTATTCTTAAACAATTTGGGTGTGCAGCATATAATGAACGCGGTATCTACCCCCCGTGCAAATGGACAAGTAGAACGATACAATCGGACAGTTCTGGATTTACTCACGGCGATGAATCATGGACGTGACGAATCGCTGTGTCTAAATAATACGATAAACAAAGGTATAGGTCGTACACCTGCAGAAGTTCTTTTTGGTTTGCGATTAGTTGGTCAGAGTGAAGGGAAAGTAACAGCAGCTTTAGGCTCAGACGAAATAGGTAGAGAAATAGATCTTAACGCGGTTAGGGCGAATGTAGACCGTCAAGTTGCCGAAAATAAAAGAAAACAAAAGGAAAGGTTTGATAAGTCGAGATGTGCTCCCCGAAGGTTTAAGGTTGGTGATTTAATAAGGTTAGAGAGAAATGTGCTATGTCCTGGTAAAAGTAGAAAATTGGTATCCAAATGTTCGGAACCATATAAGGTAGCAAAAGTATTCGAAAATGATAGGTATTTAGTTGAAGATACCCCTGTGACTCGGAAAAAGGGTAAGGCATCTTATACAGGAGTTTATCCAGTAGAAAGAATTCATCCTTGGTTAACATTTAATAATTTAGATGAAAGTAGTGATAGTGATGTGAGTGAGAATAATGGTAGTGAAAGTGAAAGGGATAGTTTGACAAAGGATTCCGAAGATAATACTGATAACAATGACGTTGTCGATATGGACGTGGATGAATGACTTAATTGTATTAAATACACAGCGAAGGATTTTATTCTTGAATTCACATAATATCAGCTTACTGCATAGGAATATTAATGGAAGGATATTTGCAAATAATGGAAGGATATTATTAATATAATGGAAGGATATTATTAATACCTGTTATGGAAGGATATTGTTACACGATGGAAGGATAATGTTATAAAATTTAGAAATATTGTTATAATGTTGAGGTATATTTTACTATGGATATTATATACATAGAAAGAGTATTTAATAATTACGGAAGGATATTTTATAGTAATGTAATTGCTTTGTTTACTATAACTAATGATTTAATTCATTTAATCTTTACACGTTTACTTTTTTTTTTAATTTATTTAATCTTTACACGTTTATTTAAAAGATATTACTATTTACAACGCATGTTTTAAGAATTTTTCAATAGAATTTTATTAAATGTAATTTTTTTTTAGTTTAATTAAAATGTGCTAATGTTTCTTTAATACTGTAATAACAACAAATTTTAATATTGTATTAAATTTTTAGTAATGTTAATTCACGAGGTCATGATATGTTGTCAGGATGGACGAGTTGTAAGAAATATATAATCGTAAAATAGAAAAATTGTTTTCATGATAATTTAAATATTATAAGGGTAAATAAGCTTATTCCATATACTAATTTAAAAAGTTTGTTAATTGATATTATTAGGTTTCCGAAATGTTACCGTGTAGATGGCGTGTCGGTGTTGATTGTGATTGGTCCGAACACTTTATCTACCGGTTCGACTAGCCAATGACATTGCTTTTAAAGTTCACTACTTGCCAAAAGGTCGGGAATTGAAAAAGAAGGGATTTACGAGGCAATGTCTTGAGGTGAAAGAAAAATTTATGTATTCGTATCTCATCAAATGTTAAAGTTAGATTGGTCAGGAATTATAACGGTATTTTGTGGTTACAAATTTTGTTGTGTATATTTTAAAGTTCTAGTATAAATTGTTGGAGGAATAGATAATTTAATAAATCAGTTTGGTTAATACGGCGTTTTATTGGAGTGTTTGGAAGAAGTCTACAATTTTAAAATCACATGTCCATAGCCATTAAAAAAAAGTAAAGATTTTTGCTTGTGAGTGATTGTGTCACTCACTCATTATCACTTGACTTATCACATACATAATGCATCCACGGCTGGTAATCTACCTATACCTATTGAGAACCGCTCGCAATAGCGACCATCTTTTTTAATGAATAATGACATTTGTCATTTTTGTTTCCTTGCTGTGATTGGCTGCCGTAGGCGCAGGTAGCCTTTCCGCCATATTGGGTAGTGATCGTGGTATTTTACACTTTGTTATTGTTTTGTTAGTCACCTAGTCTTGTTTCCGGGAGCGACAGGAGGTTTTTTAAAAACTAAAAATGAAACTACATTTAACTTAACTAGACAACTGGCAGAGTTGGATGCCCGTTATTTAAATGAGTCTCCCAATGCATTTCAATCTGGAGCTTATCTGCATCGGGGCTATGCACCACAGGATGTTTGCGCTCTAGAATGCAGCGTAAGGTGCTTGCAAGTACATTGGGATGTACCTGAGGTGTTATGCCTACTTCATATCCTTACTTGTAGGGTGCGGGACCGATCCGGGTGCATAACTACCTTGTAGTGGCTTGTAGTTTGTTTGTACAGTTCGGATCGAGTGAAGACGTGACGTGCTTATCCTCTCCCTTAATTCTGTATTGTGTGTTTGTATTTTGCTTTATACAAAATGTACGAGTGCTGTATATGTAAAAGTTCACGACAGAACGCTATTTTACATCATTTTCCTCGCACTGAGAAAAGACTCATGAAGTGGTTAAAGTGTCTAAATCGTGATAATCTGAAAAAGTTATTACCAGAAGAACTTTCAAACGTTTTTGTATGTCAAAAACACTTTGAAAAGAGGTTTGTTACGCCGAAATCACGAATAACTTTTAATGTTATTAATATTAATTGTTTTATTTATTTAGCACTTACAGAAAACATGTATATTGATGTGGAGCATAGTTACTCGCGTAAAAGACACTTTGACCACACATACTTTCAAAGGGAACCACTAAAAGGTTAGTAATGCATTTTGTATTACTGTAACATTTTCTAGTAAAACTGTTGAAATGGATTTATTGAAAAAAAAATCTCAGGTTCTTCTTTTAAATGTTATGGCCCCATTGAAGTAATTGATAATTTTGCCAATGTCAAGTTGTGGAACGCACGCATTTTTACTCAAAAATTTTCTGGTGAATTTCGATAGAGGTTGCTATTGATTTTAATTATTTACTACTCATTGATAGATTAATAAAGGGTTATTTTTCAGCTCACTATACAGATGGCAGACCAGCCAGTAACACTTTACAAAACACTGCAGACACTATTTTGTTCTTCGACAAATTGTTTGACAGCGTCAATGGAGCTGCAATACGGTCAAAAAGAAATCGAAAAATATTAAGAACAGCTGTAACGGAAAAATCACCTCATCACGATTTTTGGAAGGAATCAATAAAAAAATTGGAAGAAACCAAATATGTCGATGTGAAAGGACTTGAAAAGTCCGTGCCGTCATTGAAAAACTTTGGTCATAACTTTAAAAAGTTATATGAAGCTGTGGCAGTTTTTCCAAAGTAAAGGGATTACAATAATGAGGCCTAGATATTTTAACTCCGATCCAATAGATAATTTTTTCGGTCAAGTTAGGGCCTATAATTATAGAAATAATGACCCAAACTGCCACAGCTTTAACTGCACCTTTAAATCATTACTAATAACTAGAATCATTAAATTCCATAATGAAACTTTTAATTGTGAGGATGATCCGGCGGACCAAGTGTTCAATTTACAATCATTATTTGAAGAACAAAAAGAAAACATTGAGCCTGATCATCCTAGGACTGAAAGCATTGAAACTATTGTAGACCAGGCCCGTCGAGAACGTCTCAATGTTCACTCTCGGGCCTACACTGCTGGATGGGTAGTAAGGTAAATTTTAAATAAAATAAAAATAAACTGTGACTTATGCCTAAAAAATTTAACAAGTAATCAAACGCGTATTCACGACTGGATAAGTCACAGGGAGTATACACCGTATAAAAACCGACTGAAATACCCATCCGAAGGAGCAGTAACGTGTTTCGGTACAGTAATCAGAGAAACAAATGAATACTTGGAACGCAACGCAAATAAAGCGAATATTGCATATGATAATACAGCGAATATTTTGTCCAAGTATATTTGATTTCATAAACTGCCGAACATAAAACTATTCTACTTAATAGTTTTATTGCTTTCACTGTTCGATTTACAATTATGAATTGGTGCAGTACCATAAATAATAATAATAATAACGCACACACTCAACAAAGCCCCGCACTAGGGAAACCCTGTGTCGCGGGTGCCATGGTCACACACATAGACAACCACAAATTACACCCAAACTCACGAGAGAAATAAATGTAGGTCATACAAATATTTCGCCCGGCCCGGGAATCGAACCTGGGACCTCTGCGTGGCAGTCCGGCATGGTAACCGTTCGGCCACGGAGGCAGTTAAATAAAATTTTAAAAGGCATGGACATAGTCAGGTTAGCAAACCGCGCGCGGGAGCCCTGGCGTAAGCTAGGGCGGCCGGGCGGCGGCGTGGTGAATGTTCACTGATCCCACGGCGCCGACTCAACCGGCGAGAGGGAAACCCCGGGGGGGTTTTAGTGGGGTAGGCCCTCCAGCCTGGAGGGAGAGTCCCCACATAACCCCTGAGTCTCCCTGGGCTCAGGGGTATCCATAAAGATTTCCCCCCCGACAAAAAAAAAAAAAAAGGTTAGCAAACCGCATTCTACCTCCAATGCAAAACAAAGCATTAGAAAAATTTAAAAAGAAATTAAAAAATAAACGCCTTAACAAAAATTGAGTTGTTTTATTTATTTTATTTTATCGTATTATTTTATATAAATGAACTGGAACCCCTAACCACCTTTTGTTTGGATGTATACGTTCTGCTCCTTTGCAAGACAATATCGTCTACCTATTAAAAAAAATGGAATGTCAGTCGACATTAGTATCACAGATTAAAAATAATTCTTACTACTGAAAAAAAAAGTACTACAGTGAGCAGTCTGAACGTATAATAGTTCACTAAGTAGTCTGTGAATGCATCTATCAAATCAAAGAGTAGGTATATGTATCGAATAAACTTGCTGTTTTCTAATAATTCTACCAATCCTGTAATTTGTGTCAAATATCTTAATTACCTGTAAAAATGGATGATCCCGAGCTTGAACAAATTAGGCAGCAACGTCTAGCTCAGCTACAAGCGCAACATGGGGTGCGTATTTAAATTCTTTTGTTATTAGGTTAGGTTTATAAATAGACTGTAAAGAATTGTAATAATACCGTAATAATATTACTCTGATAAAAGCTCAGTATAAAATATTTGTGTCAATAACCTCTGGTCTTGAAGTAAACGGTACATCTGTTTTTAATCATGGTGATATGAGTGAAGGTTACCTTCATTTACCAGTTTTTTTGGTTGACTGAGATAAAAAAAAAGCAAGGAAATAAACAAATACTATGTTCACCTTGCCATTGCCAGAGATGTGAACCTAATTGTAATAAAAAATTCTAAAACCTATATACCTAATTGAAAATCCTTCAATATTATTCCACTATAGCTACTACATATCGACTCATCCCTAGAAAGATTTATGTGCAAGACTACTTGTTCTCAGGACATACTACATTTCGTTCGTTCTTCTTCGCTGTGGATGTCAGATCGACCGATTCACTCGATTTAACATTTCTGAAATGAAATTAGATATATAAATTCTCAAAACACCTTAACATAGGCCTTAGTTTGATTAAGGTAATTATTCTCGTAACATACTTATTCACTTTTCGCTGAACAATTACATCGGACTCTGTACTTCGGATGAGTCGATATGACAATATACACAATAATTAGTGATGAAAGAGACTAAGTTTTATAAGGCCTTTTAAAAAACCTCGAATAATTTTCAACGCCTCACGACTAGTCTAGTCTAGTCCTCAAGTCTTGAGTCATAAGACTAAAACTGAAGACTAACTCGAGTCGAAGTCTTTTAACCCTAGGAAACTTAAAAGATTTATAGGACTAAAACGACTAAAATGACTGGCGCCTCATAGCCCCGGGAGGCGAGAGTCATGAGCCCTATGGCGTGATTTTATTTCTACCCACAAGGTATTTATTTTACGACTTTTATTATAAGTAAATAAACATGATTATTTGCTACATACTACTTATGACATCTTTATTTATAAACTTCGGGTTTAATAAAACATAAAATAGGTATAAGTCCTTCAACTTGAGTTGTTTGCAAAGGACTCTTCATTTTAGAGTTGAGTCCTGCAAAATGGAGTCCAGTTGTTATAAAACGTCTTAAAAGACTAAGTGTCGTATTCTAGAACCCTACTCAATGCTCAAGTCAGGATTTGAGTATGGTTTAAAGCACTCGAAATCATACTCAAGTCCCTGCCATTAGAGTCGTATTTCCAGTGCTTGTGTTTTCGGTGCAATCCTGACTTGAGCATTGAGTAGAGTTCTAGAATACGACCTTGAGTCTCTTTCATCACTAACAATAATGCTGTTAGAGAATTCACTTCGGTGCATATTAGTGACCTGGCCCTTTTAAATTTAACGTGACTAACAATTATTTTTGATTTAACTTTAGGGCACAGGTGATCCCAACCAGGCTAAAGCTCAACAAGAGAGGATGCAAGCAATGGAAGAAGCAAAACATACAATTCTTTCACAAGCGCTCAGCCAGGATGCTCGAGCAAGATGTAAATAACTCATACTTATTTATAAACATAAATGCTTAATACATTGATTGAAACATTCACAACTTTCACACATTATTTGATTTAAACACTTGAAGTCCCTTCAAGGCCAAGGACTTTGCAACACATCCAAAATGCTCCAGTAAAATATACATGATTAAGTCCCGATTTAAAAATCAAATAATACTGCTTAATAGTAATAACAATGATTGTTTGAAAACAGTTTAATAACAGAGTTATCTCATGATCCATTCTGACAATTAAACATCTTTGGTGCAAGCATTGGGCCTAACAGACTGAATTTGGACAAATTTTATAATAATATATGATTTAACTCAATTTAATTTGAAGTCATAAATAGGTAATAAGCCTACCCAGATCAGTAAATTAATAAATAATTCAAAATCAAATCAACAATCATACAGGTCCCAATTAATGAACAATATTTATTTTTTATTAACAGTAAATACAATCAAACTTAGCCGTCCAGAAAAAGGAGCTATGGTGGAAAACATGATCTGCAGAATGGCTCAAATGGGACAGCTCAGTACAAAGATATCTGAGCAAGAACTCATTCAACTTCTTGAGTCATTGAATCAACAAATGCCTAAGTCATCCAGCACAGTGAAGTTTGACAGAAGACGGGCCGCACTAGACTCAGATGATGATGATTTGTAGCAGACTGTTATTTAAGCTTATTTTTTTATTGTATTTTCTTATAAAGCTAGGATAATAACTTTTTATTATTAAAAGTGGTTAATTTTATTGCAATATACAAACTGTTAATACGTATGGGAATAAGTAAATTTCAATGTATGTTCAATTATTTTTTAAATCTTATTAATGGCTAAGAACATGTAAATGTTAACCTATATAAATACACTGACACAATAACACTGATAATGGTCTGCAAATGTTTCTTAACTTGAAAATTTATGGAAAATAAAATTTAAAAGCCATTGCTACTATCCATATTCTTATGCTATTTATTACATACAGATAAACGTGAAACACAATCTAAGTAGGAAATTAATTAACAAATATATGTGTCACAGCTTAAAATAAACTTTTGTAATAATTGTAGTGTTTTTTTTAAAGTCATCTCTAGCATGATAGGGCGTGACTTAGCCAAGAGCGACAAAGCGCGAGATGCCTATGCAAGAAGAGCACTATCTCGCGCGGGTCGAGCTCTATCGTGCTAGCCCTACTGGTGAATGTACAGTCGGTGCCCTCACATAGTTATCCACTATTTGTACTTGTGGATACTTAAGTAAGGGCATCGACCCTTAAAATATATATGTATATATAATTCTTTACCTATATTTCTATTATTATTCATAGATACCTTGGGCGGATGCTGCCTAATTATTTTAAAACTATTACGTCCTATGTCACTAGGAATCATGTTGGGCTCAATTTACATTGTCGCGGAACGTAACTTTTTATAAAAATAATATTTACAAGCATAAGCCTTTGGAAGAAAGAAAAGCACAAGCAACGAATAAATAGATAAATGTGCTTAAATATGTTTAGGTTCTTTTTTCTGATAAAAAGAATAGTTAAAATACACATTTGATATATTAAGTAGTTTATGTGCTAAATACATGATACCACATGGTTATACAGAAATTTCAATTTTTAAATAAATAAATAATAATAATTTTTATTATTATTATTAATAATAATAATAATTATTATTTAATACAGAAATTTCAATGATTGTATTTTAATCATCCGTTTTTATAAAAACCTTTATTTTGCTTTTAAATTAGAAAAAGTATATAAAAATATTATAACTGCCTATGTTTTAATATTTGACTCATGAACTGCCCCTGTGGCCGAGGGTTGTTTTCAGATAACCTCCAAAAATGTGTCCCTTTCAATAACTTTTATGTTAATACATGAATGCTAAGCATTATTTATTTAATATGATTGCTTGCTTACTTAGTCTGTGTTACACATAAAAAGACTACATCATTAGTGTCGGTTCAACTAAAAGCCTCCTAATAACAAATGTTAATACCGCATCACCTTCATCCTTCGCACACGTGAGAAGGGGCTCCTGTCGGATTGGAGTGTACACAGTAACCTGTGCATCTCCGTTTTACCAAAAAATCGACTTAAATACCAATTTCAGCGCTAGTGACTAAATCGTTCTCATTCATGTAAAGCAATCTATCTAAATAAGTATTAAGTAATAGCTTTATAAACTTTATTGTACATCAATCAGACAAAGTAACTTTAAAATCCATGCACTTTTATAATGGTCCAGCATATTCTACACACTTGACATTTAAAAATGTATCCACATATCATTATTGGATGGATGGATGGATGCGGGCAGCGCAGGACCGATCGTCGTGGAGATCGTTGGGGCAGGCCTATGCCCAGCAGTGGGCGTCGTATGGCTGAATGATGATGATGATGATGATATCATTATTGTCGCTCTCACTCTGGTCTACTTTTAAGTCAAATAGTTACTTTAAGCCAAACATTTACTTGAAATATAACAATCAGATGGTGATAGTGGTGGTGATGACGGTGGTGACGATGATGATGGTGGTGATGATGACGATGACTGTGATGATGATGTGAATGGTAATGATGCTGATGATAATGGTGATCATGATGATGTTGATGGTGGTGATGGTGATATATTGATGTACAACAAAGTTTATATGAATTCAAATTCAAATTCAAAATTCAAATTCAAATTCAAAATAATCTTTATTTCATAGGTAAGCATTATTACACTTGAAATCGTCACAATATTAAACTCTACCGCTCATTCGTAAGGCAGATTCCCCTGAGAAGAATGAGCAAGAAACTCTAGGGGTTGCTCTTTGTAAATAATTAATAATTCACAATATTTTTTTTTAATTTGAAACATCAGAGATCGAGACTACCTCCATGAGCTAAACGGGTTACTATCACGGATTTTTGTCATCCAAGTACGCAGAAGTTGTATAATAAATAACCTTTAGTATAAAGTTTTTGTTTCACTATAGTTTTAAACCTCGTGAAAGGCAAATTTTGTATATCAACCGGAATCTTGTTATAGAAGCGTATACATTGCCCCTTAAATGATTTTTTGACTTTGTGAAGACGACTATCAAGAAAAGCTAGTTTATTTCTATTCCTCGTATTAATGTTATGTCTGTCACTATTTTTCATAAATAAATTACTATTCCTTTTAACATAAATTACGTTCTCATAAATGTACTGTGAGGCTAGTGTAAGAATGTTAATTTCCTTAAACTTATCTCTCAAAGATACTTTGGGGCCCAGATTGTAAATTGCCCTAACTGCACGTTTCTGCAGGACAAAGATTCTGTTGACGTCGGCGGCATTACCCCAAAGCAAAATGCCGTATGTCATTAGACTGTGAAAGTAGCTGAAGTTCACCAATCTAGCGGTCTCCACGTCTGAAAGTTTCCTTATTTTTTTAATCGCGTACATTGTATATGACATTAACAAAATACTTCTATAGATTTATTAATTAATTACATATAGATAGATAGATGGTCTTACACGGATGAGAAGGATTTTGATACAAGAAGTTATATTAAAATATTTGTTACATGTTAAATGATGTCAAATGTTCTTTTTTGAACTATAAAATGTATGTTGTAATAATAATTTCTCATTACTGTGCCGTCTTTCTCATTTATGTTTAATGGAAAATCATTCGTGTTACTGCAATTTCATTTGTGTGACCTAAAATATTTATATAATATTGTATATAACTTAAATATTTCTGTGATTTTATAATTATTGACATTGCTTGAGCTTATTTGTACGTTTAAGACCTGAAAACCAAAAGAAAAAAGGGTTTTTTTTAGGTGAAATTCACCCCCGAACGGTTACCATGATGCACAGTGGGCCCAAATTGATAATTCTTGGACATAGGAATACTTGTAGAGTATCGAGCAAATTTTTTTATGTGATAGATGATAACGTTCCTAACAACTTTTATTCTTGTATAAGTTCTTGAAAAGTTGATAGTTTCGGAGAAATTAAAAAAATATTTTTTTTTGTATGGAGAAATATACATTTTATTTTTTATCTCAAAATATACGAAAATGTAATGTGCGTGGGTTGGTACTTGGTGTAACGGGCTGGTGTCCGGAACTCGACGACGTCAAGGTGCCTATTTTACGTGTGGTGGGTGCAGGCATTCTACTCGTGCCACCCAAGCTCCTCCAGGAATCTCAGCAGCCTCCTCTGTTTGCTGAAGACTTCGGGGACCGACCTAGGCACTCCAAGGTACTTCGCCCTGTAGTTGGCCACGCCGGAGCACTGTAGTAGGATGTGCGCAGCCGTTTCGTCCCCCTCCATGCACGCTCTGCACATACGGCTGTGATACCTAAATTGAAAAGGTGTTTATTGTATGGACCATGACCCGTTAGGGCAGCAATTAGAGTGCGAAGCTCTTGCCTTTTGAGTTCAATTAAAATTCGAGATAGACTGGCATTGAGCGTTGGGAGTGCTTCTCTCGCCTGTCTACAAACCGTAAGAGTGGTCCTTGTATTATTATGTGAAGATTTTGTGCCTTTGTGTAGGTATAGTTCTGGACCATTGGTAGGGGACCACTATGGGTTCTGGTCCTACAGCGTCCGTCTCCGACCCTTTTCTGGCTAGTTCATCTGCTGCGTCATTGCCACGTGAGCCGCGGTGTCCTTTAATCCACTGTAGACTTACATGGTTTTGTATACATACCTCCATGAGTGCTTGATGGCATTCATAAATGAGCCCTGAGTGTATGTCATAGCTGTTCAGTGCTTGAAGTACTGACATACTGTCGGAGAGTATTCGAATTGAGTTATTCTTTACTCTTCTCGCTATGATTGCTTCTGCCGCCAACTTGATGCCCACGCATTCGGCCTGAAATACTGTGTTGTGGTCACCAAGCGGTGTTGATATCCTGATATTGTGATCTTCTGAGAATACCCCAGTACCTGTTCCTGAATTTGTTTTAGATCCATTATTGAAGACGCTGACCTCTCTGGGGTTCAGTCCGTGGTTGGGCTCTTCAAACAATTGTATCTTGTATTTTTTGTCAAAGATGTATTGTTTTGGGATCCTATCCACAGCCGCGTCCATTAGCTGTTCCTCATTGATAGTCTTATAAAGGATTTCTGTATGTGGGATCCTCATGTGCTTCCAAAGGCCGGCTCTGTTTAGACGCACTGCTGTTGACGCCGCTTCCTGTCTGATAAACAGTGGGAGGGGTCGCAGGTCTAGTACCGCTTCAAGGGCCGCAGTTGGAGTTGCCCTCATGCAGCCAGTCGTTGCCTTGCAAGAGTCTTTGGAATTTGTCCAGCTTGTCGGTTGCGGTCGTAAGTTTGGTTCGTGGCCACCATACTATCGCGCCGTAACTGATCATGGGTCTTATCACTGCTGTGTAGAGCCATAGTGTTATTGGGTGAAAGTCTCCATTGTTTACCTACCATTCTATGGCACTGCCAGAAGGTGATAGTAGCTTTTAATTTTGTTATCCAGATGCTTGTTCCAGTTCAACTTGTTATCCAGTATTACTCCCAAGTACTTAACTTCGGTTGATATCTGTAGTTCGGTACTGAAGAGTTTGAGTTGTAGGTAGTTACCCAGTAGTGTTTTGTTTGTAATCATTACCAGTTCCGTCTTTGATGGATTTACCGATAGTTCGTATGCTCTGCACCATCTTTCCACAATCCGGAGTGCTGATTGTATGCTGGAGAAGTTGGTTTTATCGAAGGCTCCTTAAATATCTATAAAGGTGCCTAGGCAGATTGTTTTGTCTTTGAGGGCCACTTCTATCTTGCCCACAACGACATGTAGGGCCAATTCAGTGGATTTGCCTTAGCTGTATGGATGTTGGTTTCCGTGTAGTGGTATGTTCTTAAGCGCTCCATCCTTCAGTTCTCTGTAACATAACCTTTCTAATGTCCTCAAGAAGAACGATGTGAGGCTGATTGGTCTGAAGGACTTCGCGTCAGTGTAGTCGTTTTTACCTGGTTTCGGTATAAATACGACTTTTACCTCTCGCCAGCGGTGGGGCAC